TTACCTTATGTATCTTATTGGTTTAATGGGATTGTTTATCTCAAAAGGTGTTTTAGAAGTACACTTATAAGTCTGGTTTGCTTGAGACAACACCAGCTTATGCCTTTTGTCCAGGGATAACTATAAATAGTGCTCCCTTTCATTCTTGCAAAAGGTTAGATGTAAATTTTATGGTCACCCTAAGTATAGTTTACTAGCCAGATTTACTTTACTAGACTATCCCCATGCTCCAGTACTTTCTAAAGACAAATACTACTATTTTAATCTTAATTTTTAGATGGTTTGTGGTATTCTTTAAACCACTTTTACATTTGTTTTTTTCTCTTTATCTTTAGTCCATAGTTCAGTCCTTTTTTTTTTTTGAAGTTTTTTGTTGTTGTTAATGTAGATAATATGAAAAATTAATTGTAATTGGGAATTTGGGACTTGAACTACCAATAAACTTTATAGGCAGTCATATTTTTCATATCAGAGTCCTTACGTTTTGAGGCTATCTGAAGTGTTTTATTTGTTTAGATAACTAATGACATACTGATTATAAGCAGTAAAATATTTATTGGCCTATATGTACTACTCTTATCATAGTAGACTGTCAATGGGAGTTTATATTGCCCAAAGCAAGTAAAGTTTATAGTTAAAAAATTAAGGTTGTCAGCCCTGGCCAGTGGCTCAGTTGGTTAGAACGTCGTCGCCATATGCCAAGGTTACAGGTTCGATCTTCGGTCAGGGCACATAAAAGAATCAATCAATGAATGCATGAATAAGTGGAACACAAACCAGGGTTTCTCTTTCTCTCCCTTTCTCTCTCTCTAAAATTAATCAGAATTTTAAAAAAGAATTAAGAGTCAGCCCAGGTGGGCGTGGCTCAGCAGTTGAGCATCGACCTAGGATCCAGGAGATCGCGGTTCGATTCCCAGTCAGATCACATGCCTTGGTTGCGGGCTTGATCCGTAGTCGGCGGTGTGGAGGAGGCAGCCAATCAATGACAACTTTCTCATCATTGATGTTTCTATCTATCTCTCTTTCTAAAATCAATAAATATATATATATATTTTTTAAAATAAAAAAATTTTAAAAAGAACTAGATATTGCTAAGAGGAATCTCTTTAATTGCCTATACTATCCAGAAATTCAAGTCAAGAACTTCATACACTTAAAATCTGCCTCTATCCTCTTTTATGTTGGTTATTTAACTCAACACGTTTCTTATGGTCCCTTCCTTTAACAGGTAGAATAAAACCTGCCTTTCAAGTATTGTGAAGCTTCCAGGTCCTGTAGCAGTAATCTGTATTGTTACAGTGTTCATTTGGTAAATGGCCAAGCAATAAGCATTAAAGATTTTTGATAGGAAAGTATTATAGTGAAAGTGAGTTGAGATACTTGTTTTAGTACAACTAAGGATCTTGAAAGCATTGGTAAGATTGCATTTCACTTTAGACCTGAGTTTAGTAAGGAAATTTGGCAGTGGAGTTGGTCACTAAGTGATAGCTAAAGTCATCTGCAAACATGCTTCATGAATGCAGTAATGGTTATTAGTTACCTACTTGTTTGTGGGACTGTGCTAAGTATTTAAATTAAATTGTTTTTGTAACAAAGGAAAATATTAGAGGTTAGTGGGTCCACATAGCTTGTGTTGACAGTAGTGTTTCAAAGAAAATTAAGTCATGTTGGAATGAGTGGGCTTTGATGTTTGCCCCTATCTTCTTTGCCACTGGCTCTTTTTCTTGACCTTTTCTCCTTGCCATAATTTATTGCAGTGGTGAACATGATATGTGTGGATCATGTATAACCTAAACTACCTGGACAAAGCAAACAATGTTTATTATTAGAAAATATTTAACTTTTAAAGAAATGGTAAAAATGATCTTTCCAAATAAAAAAAATTTAATTCAAATAAAGACTGACAATGAATTTGGTAAATTAGAGGATGTGAGCACCATTGGGGAGCGATTTTCTGCAGCATTAAATGCCTACCTGTGCAAAGTACAGAGCCAGGTCTTGCAGGGGATTCCGGTATGATTAAATCATAGTCTCTGCCCCTGAGAAGCTTACTGGAGGGACAGGGGTAAGGGGCATGTGTGGTGTGGTTTAACATAATTACACAGATAACTGAAGTAACTCAAATTGTAGAACCTGGAATACTAGTACAAAGAAAGAAAAAGTCATTTGCTTTTGGAGTAGGAAGGATAGAAAATGTTATAGGAAGGGAGAGGCTCTTATGGTGGGTTGTGGGTAAAGAGTGTAATTTAATAAACAGAAATAGGTTAGAGAGTAATCTGGTAAGAGAGAAAAGCAAAAGTGTGGAGATAGGAGAGCTCAAGTCTAGATTGGTCAAAGTAAGACGGAACAGAGAGGCTTTGGACTCAGTCTAACCTGGCTTTGAATCGTGGTTCCTTTCTTACAAGCTGGGGATACTGGTAGCAAACATCAGAGGATTGTTGTGCGCATTAAGTGGGATAACAAGTAAACAGCCTTCCTAATAATAGGTACTCAGTATAATTGTCCCCTACTTTTTTCTAATTTCTGTCAATTACAAGTATTCCCATGTTAGTAAAGCTAGTGAGTCATGGAGAGGTATAGAGACCAGTCTAACAAGTTAATGGAATAATAAAAATTACACTGACTAGCTAGGCAGTGTTGTGCATATAAGCAGACCAAACTACTCTAGTTTTTAAGCCATCAAAAAATACAGTCAGCACGTCCACCGACTCAGTCCTGCTTAGACTGAAGAATACCAATAAAAATAAAGGAAGTGTAGCACTTCATTTTTAACTTAATGACTATAAAGGGAAGATCTTCTATTATATTTTATTATATTAAAAACTTTTAAAATTTCCTTTTAGAGAGAATATTGGCAACTTGCTGGGGTGATTCTTAGTATTATGTGTAGTTTCAGTAGATCCCTCATTTGTGTTTTTGAGTTCTTATATTTGTGTTTTATCTCATGTAGTCAAGCCCAAATATATAATTTGGCATCTACTTTACTTTGGTCTTTTCTTACTTCAAATAAATAACTTCCATATACTTTTATTGTTGTTAGTATTTCCTGTACCCTCACATTCTGAGCATAGGATTAAAGAGCCTTCCTTTGCATTTAAGTTACTCTCTCATTGTCACTCTGTACTAGACACTGTAGACTGTAAGACATGCCTTAGGATTTATTGAGGATACTTGCCAAGAGGAAGTCGACGTTATCCTGGGAAAAGGACAGTGTACAGCATGTCTTGGTAGGAGATTAAAGCATACATTTGAGTTATAGCTCTGCACTTTGTTGGCTACTCTGGCCTTAGTTACTTGGCCAGTCTGATTCTCTTACTTCCTCTGTAAAATAATACCAATTCTGCCCCATTATTTTTAAGGATTCAGTGGGAATCTGGAGTCTTTAGCACTGTGCTCAATAAATATTAATATGTGTGTTCAATAAATATTAACCCTCTGGCCCCAGCCACCACCACATTTGTAAATATGGAAGTAAAAAATGATCCTCACGTACTTTGTGAGTTATTATTAAAGAACTATTTATCTTTGTTTTATACAGTTTTAAAAGGTGGCTTTTTGGTTTGTGTGTGTGTGTGTGTTTATATGTCTTGATTGATTTCAGAGAGAGGAAGGGAGGAGAGAGAGAAACATCAATGATGAGAGTCGTTGGTCAGCTGCCTCCTGCTTCTCCTTTTGGTACTTTCCCTGCCTCTTTCCTAGGCTCCTTTTTACACCTGCCCTTTAGGTTTTGATGTTCTCCTGATTTTCCTTTCATTGCCCGAAAGGAAATGGCACCTGAAAGGGATGTAACAAGGACAAATAAACTACATGTTTCCCTTAAGGGGTGTCAAGTGGGCAGAAAAGGGGAATGGGTGAGGACAATAATCCTGACAAAATGCCCCCGTAGCCTGCAAGGCTGGGTGCCCTTCCCTCCTCAGCTCTCACCCCCTCGTCCTCATAGTTCCCTTGCTGTAAGCCTACCTCTACCCTCCTCACTCTGAATTGACACAGAATGATGCCCCTTAGTGGCAGAAACAGGAGCCTCTTCCAGTCCTGCTCTACAGCAGAAATTACTGTCCTGTGCATATAAACAAATGGTTATTGTTATGTATTACTTAACCACTGATAGGTGCTTTTTTGAATTCTAGTAAATACAGACTTTACTTCTGACTTAATATCACAACACCGGAGGTACTTTAACCTTCCTTTGAATGTTTTAGGGAAAAGAAAACAGACTAAATATGCTTCCTTTCTACAAGAATTTATATTTTTTGAGAAGTTGAGACAAGGATACTTAGTGCTTATTTTACTTTAAGATTATAATGTCTGTATAGTACACATCTACTCCAGCTTTTGGAGTTACAATTTAATCTTGAGACCTAAAATTATCTTTTCTAGCCTGACACTTAATTGCTATAGCCAGTCTAGAAATACTTACTGAATGACTAGAATGATCAGTGTAGATCCTTGAAAGCCTTACTGCTTTAAGAAAACAAAACAAGCAAACAAAAATTGTTTTAAAGGAAAGAGTATAACCGCATTAAATGCAATCTGGAAAATAAAGAAAAAGCCCTACGCTTAATCTCTGATAGAGTTGCTGATAGAATTTGTATATATCTGGTTGTTTTCAAATTTGTGTTTATGTGGTTTAAATGTGTCCCGCTTTTCCCCCCACTTAATATGTCATTTTATGACTTGACTTTAAATGGCTTCATATTAATCTGTTAATTGCATGGCCCTGTTGTATGCACAGTGTTTATAAAGAAGAATGGTTCTAAAAAATATGACTCTTAAAAAATAGCTGTTCTAATAAAATGAAATTGCTTATCACATGGATCTTAAGTAGGAGGATGATAACCTTACTTAAGTCAGTGGCTTTTGTTTTCAAAACATATGAACCTGAAACTTGAGGAAGTGGGTCGGCAGCCATGTATTTTGGAGACGTTATCAACAGAAGTTAGATAGTTGCTTATTTAGAGAATTATTGTCATAAATCTTATGTTACATGTGTTCTTTTATAGATTATGGAGCTTTGTGGTGCAAAAAGACTTGGTTATTTTGGAAGAAGTCAATTCTATATTGCTTTGAAACTTGTAGCTGTTGCCCAGTCTGGTTTCCCTTTAAGAGTGGAAAGTATTAATACAGGTAAATATGAGATACATTAGTAATTGAAATGAAAATAGACTTTGAATCACAAATGAAGTAAAGTCAGTACAAAGGTTGAATCTTTCTGATATTACAGTGACATTTGTGACCTTGAGGAAAGTGTCATTACTTTATTCTCACCACCATGCTTTTTAAAATTTGTGATATGAAACTGTTAAATGGTGATTTTATAGCATAAATTTACTAAGAATTGTTAAGAATTTAGGTGAATAATTTTATCAAGGTAAAGGATGAATTGTAGTGACTTACATATGCTTTATTTTTTTTTCTAAGTATAAAGCAACATTATACTTTGTTTTCTTGTGTGAAGGCTGTAAAAGCTCCATATAAAATTAGCAAGTATTAGTTAACTAAAATTCTGATTGATAGAGACAATATTAAAATATTGGCAGACTGAAACCTAGTTACAGACATTTGACTGCCTTATAAGTCTTGCCTAGGATAAGTTGTTTTTCTGTTATTTGGAGGTGTGTTGATATTGAAGTACATGGAAATTTTATAAGGTAGGCACTTAAATGTAGAGTTTTGCGGTTTTCATAGGGAAAAGGGGAAGAGAAAACCGCGCTTTCTGTAATGTTAGAGTTTTTATGCGGTAGTATTACGTGCCAGCTTAGGTGGAAGCTTTTATTGTGGACCTCTGGTTTGCCACACATGTCGTTTTTCTAGTGTTTAGCGTTTACACTCTTTCCAGATAATTTTAAATACTTTACATAAATAGTGAATAAACTTACTCTCCACCTTAGTGCAGAAATTCTAAGGAGAGATGCAGGTAATCGTAGTGGAGGGAAGTACATTTTCTTCTAAAAATGATTCTGCTGCTGTATTAGTCTAGTCTAGTTATGACCGACCTGCAGAGAAGTTCTTAGTTTTTTATTTTTCTTCTTTATTTAAAATTGAATGTAGAGTATTTGCCTGTTGGAGTGAAATAAGTCAGACTAAAGTTGGTAGATTGAGCCGCTTGTACTGTGTCCTTGGTAGGTGAACAGTAAGATATTTTCAGGAAATTCTGCCATGAAAATGTCTAGATTAATCTAGTCTTAAACTTAGTGACTTATTCTGTGTTTTACTTAGAACTCTAACATCTTACTTTAGAGAATCAGTGTGAGTAGAAACAGCTTTGGTGACCTGGGTTTAGATTTTTTTCAGTTATTGTCAGTGACTGTGACATCTTGGAGCCTCAGTTTCCTTACCTGTAAAATAGGAACTTTGCAGAGTTGATATGGTGATGAAATGACATAAATATAAAGTGCAAATATAGAACCAGACATGCAATGGACATTTATACAGCTATCTTTATAACCTTTTGGAAGGACAATTTGGTGTTACTATTTCTTTCTAGATTAGAGTCTCCCTAAACAATCTAAGGGAGATGATCGTCTAAGTTTCGTAGCAAAAGACATTTTGTGTCTGTTGTTTCTGTATCTATTTTTGTAAAAATTTTAATATCTAATTCATCTCTTATTTCAGATTTTAATGTGTGCATCATTTTTTATTTTAAAGTAATAATTGTTTTTGCCGTTAATAGTAAAGGACCTTCCTCTGCCAAGATTTGTTGCTTCAAAGAATGAGCAAGAATCTCGCCATGCATCCTCATATTCTTCAGATTCTGAAAATCAAGGGTCTTATTCTGGTGTAATTCCTCCACCACCTGGAAGGGGGCAAGTGAAAAAGGGATCCGTAAGCCATGACACTGTCCCGTCTCGTACATCTGCAGATCAACAGGTAGTCACGTGCATGTCAGTATTATCAGTTGATGTCCTGTGTAGATGCTTACATTAAAACTTTTACTGAGCACCTTAATAATGAAAATGTTACCTTAAAATTAAAATTTAAAAATAACAACATTCTTTCTAGGAACCTGCATCTCCAGTAGTTTCACCACAGCAGTCCCCACCAACTTCTCCGCACACATGGAGAAAACACAACCGTCATCCCAGTGGAGGAAATGGTGAGAGGACTCTTGCAGGACCTGGGCCGTTTTGGTGTCCCTTTGGTGAAGCACAATCAGGTATTCAGAAGTTCTAGAAGTCACATGCATTTATTAAAGGTGTAAATTGAAGGTAACTTGGTAACATTCCTTTAAGAGTTGCCTCCAAGACAATTTTTAATTCTAAATTAAATACCTTAAATAGAAGCAAAAGCCAACTATGAAAATTTGTAAGTAGATGTATCACTTTAAACAGTGGTAATTGCATTACTTATATCTATGATGCTTAGACAAAAGTTTATAGGCACCAAATTCTCTGAAGGTAAAATGAATAAGTGATTATTTCCTAGAATATTTTGATATTAGTTTCAGTAACAATTTAAAACATTTAAATGAGATCTTTTTATTTTTATTTTTTTAATTTATCTTTATAGTTGAAAGTGTTACAGGTGTCCCATTTTCCCCCCAAATGACCCCCTCCACCTCGCTCCCACCTCCTCCCCAGGCCTTCACCCCGTTATTGACTGTGTCCATGGGTTATGCATATATGCATATAACTACTTTGGTTAATCTCTTCCCATCCTCCACCCCCTTCCCTCTGAAGTATGATTGTTGCATGCGTCAGTGTCTCTGGATCTATTTAGTTTGTCAGATTCTTTTGTTCATTAGCTTCTTAAAGAAGACCCTTCAACATATCCTGTAGTGCTGGTCTGGTGGTGATGAACTCCTTTAGGTTTTTCTTATCTGGGAAGCTCTTTATCTGACCTTCAGTTCTAAGTGATAGCTTTGCAAGGTAGAGCAATCTTGGTTGTAGTTCCTTGTTTTTCATCACTGAATATTTCTTGCCACTCCCTTCTGGCCTGCAAAGTTTCTCTTGAGGGATCAGCTGATAGTCATATGGGTGCTCCCTTGTAGGTAACTAACTGCTTTTCTCTTGCTGCTTTTATGATTCTCTCTTTTTCTTTAACCTTTGGCATTTTAATTATGTGTCTTGCTGTGGGCCTCTTTGGGTTCCTCTTGTTTGGGACCCTCTGTGCTTCCTGGACTTGTAAGTCTATTTCTTTCCCCAGGTAGGGGAAGTTTTCTGTATTATTTTTTCAAATAGGTTTTCAATTTCTTGCTCTCTTTCTTCTCCTCCTGTTACCCTAATAATACGAATGTTGGGCCTCTTGAAGGTGTTCCAGAGGCTCCTTATGCTATCTTCATATTTCTGGATTCTTTTTTCTTTTTGCTCTTCTGGTTGGGTGTTTTTTGTTTCCTCATGTTCCAAATTGCTGATTTGATTCTCAGCGTCCTCTACTCTACTGTTGATTCCTTGTAAATTATTCTTCATTTCAGTTTGTGTAGCCTTCATTTCTGATTGGTACTTTATTATGTCATCGATGGTCTCAGTTGTTTTCCTAATACTCTTACTAATATGGTTGAGCATACTTATAAACAAAATTCTGAAGTCTGTATCTGTTAGCTTGCTTGGTTCTATTTCATTTAGTTCCTTTTCTAGAGATTTCTTCTGTTCTTTCCTTTGTGACATGTTTCTTTGCCTCCACATTTTGGCTGCTTCCAGGTGTTTGTTTCTGTGTATTAGGTAGAGCTGCTATGTGTCCTGGAATTGGTAGAGTGGCTTTGTGTAGTAGGGTCCAGTGACTCAGCCTCCCCAGTCACCTGAGCTGGGCCTTTCTAGGTGCTCCCCTGTGTGGGCTGTGTGCTCTGACCTGTTGTAGTTCAGCTTTGGTTGCTTTTGACATCACTGGGAGGAATTGACCCCCAGGACAATTGGCTGTAAGGACCATCTGCAACTGCAGCCAAAGAGCTGCAGTGCTGAAGACACCCATGTGGAGCAGGATTTACTTCAGTGGAGCTTTGATGTTCACCAAGTGTGCCCCTTGAGTGTGTCACTCATAGATGTGGTAGTGTTGTAATCCAGTGTTGTGGAGTCTGGCCACCAGGTGCACTGTGTCTGGGGCCTCCCAGGAGGTGCAAAGTCAGCCTGTGCCAGTGCCTTGCCCAGGGCCACCCAGCATGAGCTACACAGCAAACCGTAGTTGGCTGCTACTTGTGCTGGGCTTGGAGGTGTCCAGGAGAGGCCAAGCTATGAGCCAATGCAGGCTGCCACTAGTGAGAGGCCTGGGGCCACTTATCAAGCCGTATGGGGCACTCTGCTGCATGTTTGAGAGATTTTAGGAAAGTCCTAAGCATAGGGCTTGAGAGTCCCCTTGCACAGAAAAGCCTCTGGAAATGGCCTGGATGAACTTGCACATGGGGAGGGGAGGGGTCTCCTCTAATCACCGGGGTGGGGCCAAAGGTGTGAGTCAGGTGCTAGAGATTCAAATATGGCGCCTGCCTGCCTGCTTTGTGCGGGGAGAAGCTGCCAAAGGAGCAATGGCCTCTGCCAGCTCTTCTGTCAGGGAGAAAGCCGCCCCTCCACCTCTCGCCTGGATTTCAGGCAGGTTAGTTCCTCCCCAAGTGTCCCAGGTCCTTTCAAGCTGCTGCCCAGTGCTGGGCTCAGAGGGCACGAGTCTGAGTGAGTCCATTTTCGGGCCCTTTGAGAGGNAGGGCATCTGAGTGAGTCCGTGCGCACGGGCCCTTTAAGAGGAAAGCCTGGGGCTCCCGCAGCCTACGAGACCCTCCACAACCCTCAGCAACAGTCCCCACTGGTTTTCACAGCCTGAAGTTGTGGGACTTCTCTTCTTGGCCCTGGAGCCCTGGGCTGGGGGCCTGCTGTTGGGCTGGGACCCTTCACTCCTCTGGGAGACCCCCACTGCCGAGATTCCCTCCTGGGTTTAAACCGTGGCACCGGGGGTGGGCCCGTGACCGTGTCTCTGGGATTCAGCCCCGATCCGCCCCTCCTACCAGTGTCTATGCTTCTTCAGTTCCCTGGTTGTAGGGCTTCTGTTCAGCCAGATATCGGGGTGCTGAGTGATGGTGGTTCTGTATTTTAGTTGTAATTTTGTTGTGGTTGCGGGAGGCGGCGGGTGCAGCCGTTACCTACGCCGCCATCTTGTTTCCTCCCCCTAAATGAGATGATTTTAAATTGACAAAAGATTTCATTTTGAAAATTAACATTTCTTCAAAGTTAGAGCTTGAAAGAAAAAAAACTTACATAATATGTGTGTGTTGGATTGTTAGGATAAGAAACCTGATAACTTTTTTTCTGTAAAAGTGAGTCAGCATGTTTGCCCATTCTGCTTTTAGGTTCTTCTGCTGGTGACACGGTGTGGTCAGGGCATTCTCCACCTCCACCTCAAGAAAACTGGGTCAGTTTTGCAGATACTCCACCAACCAGTACTCTTTTAACCATGCATCCTGCTTCTGTCCAGGTGTGACATTTTATTGGTATTGCATTTTTATTTGCTTCATTCAAAGTATTGCTGCAGTCATTGTTATATTTTGCTATGGCAGATTTTATAAATGCAAGTTCACTCGTTTATAAAAACAAACAAAAAAAACAGAACTCTGCTTTGTGCCTTTTCTTTAAGTCTGTTATCATTGAAATGTTTCATTAAAAGTTTTGGCTGATTTTCTTTTTAATTTCTCAGTGAACTTTTGAAAGGTTTCGGCACCTAGGAATATATTTGCTTGGCTTTCTTAGCACATTTTCATAACTTTCTGTTGCTTACATAGTGCTGTCATTCTATACATTTATATAATCATTGTCCAAAAACATTCAATAACCTGATTATAAATAATGTGGTTTGCTGATGAGTTTGTGAAGATTTCTTGTATTTTAAACATTCACAAAAAGTAAGTTTTACTTTCAAAGATAAAGTAACCTATCAATCTTGGTCCATGTAATGATATAGATAGATACTGTACTGAGGAAAAAAATGTTTCATTACAGGACCAGACAACAGTACGAACTGTAGCGTCAGCTACAACTGCCAATGAAATTCGTAGGCAATCCAGTAGCTATGATGATCCCTGGAAAATAACAGATGAACAAAGACAGTATTATGTAAATCAGTTTAAAACCATTCAACCTGATCTTAACGGATTTATTCCAGGTGAGTTGTTAAAAACAAATTCTTCTGGATGGGACAGTTCAAAGTCTCAGTTTCATAATCTCAAAGATATGATTTTGTTGGTCAGAGATTATAAAAGATAATTCTCAAGTTGTTTGTCTAAAAAGAGTTTATAATTACTAGAGACCAAAAACATCACATGTATACTTGTTAAGGTTACCTTTTTTCCGGTGAAAAATGTCTTAAGACTTATTACATTTTATTTTTGAATCTGTAGGTTCAGAATAATGCTAAACAACACTTTTAATATTTCAGGATCTGCAGCTAAAGAGTTTTTTACAAAATCAAAGCTTCCTATTCTTGAACTTTCTCATATTTGGTAAGTGTGGTATATATTAGTTGGGTAATGTGGGTTGTTTCAAAGGAGTTTCCAGCAAGTAGATTTTTTTTTAACCTTAACAAACAAGCAGTTAGAATAATCTTTTTAAGGATGTTCTTAACTCAGCATTTCCTTAAAGTAGCTTCTGTAGAAAAGAAATAAAGTGATATTGGTAGAGTAGTTCTTTAAAAAGTGCTATAAGTCTTTAAGCTGTATTGACTGTTTCTTACTGCTAGTGTAATACATGGAATAAAAGCAAGTTTGCTCAAACATGGTTATGTTTATTCCATATGGTTTTAAATAAGTTTACTAAGTTCTATACTAGCCATGAGCTTAAGAACAGTGCTTAGCACCCATTTAAATACAGACGTAAGACTCAGGATAGTTGCTATGTGGTTGGAATCAGTCATTAAATTACAATAAAAAATTACTTTTTAAGAACAATTATCAGATAAACATAAGTGTTTTCACTTTATAACATATTTCTCTATGTTCTAAATTTTGTTAATAGACTTTTTAGCAACATAGAGTGCTGTAGTAGGAGGTAGGTAGAGAATGCCTATTACCGAAAAATTAAGAACTAGCAATATATGCATGCTATTTATAGTTTAAGGTGACAAATACAAAAATGGTTGCTCTTGTATCTAGGAAATGGAAGGATAGCAAGGTGGGGCTGCTCTCTTTTTGTATCAAGCCTTGTAATTGTATTGGATCCTTTAAAATACACATAGACTTTTAATAACAATAAAAAAAATTCTTTTTAAACTTAGTGACATTAAATAAGCCTGACTTAAGCTAAATCCTGTTTCTAAAGATCCATATGTATTAAAGGCCATTTTCATGGTAACCTTATTTTGGGGGCTCTTCTTCAACATTTTAATTTGAAAATTTCAAGCACATAGAAAAGTTTAAAGAATTGTGCCTTAAACCACCCACGTGCCCATTGCCTGTATCCTACAGATAACAGTTTTGCTATATTTGCTTTGTTACACCTCTTCCCATCTACAAGATTTTTTAAGTTATTGATTGCGCTTTTTCTGAAAAAAGATCTGTGGTTTTTTTTCTTCTTTTTCTTTTTGAGACATAAAGGGATCCAAAGCAGAATACAATTATATTCATGATAAGTTTGTCTTCTAGGGAACTCTCAGACTTTGATAAAGATGGAGCATTGACACTGGATGAGTTTTGTGCTGCTTTTCATCTGGTAGTTGCTAGGAAGAATGGCTATGACTTACCAGAAAAACTTCCTGAAAGCTTAATGCCCAAACTGATTGATTTGGAAGACTCAGCAGGTAAGACCCAGGAGCTTGGAGAGACCTGATTGCATGCCTTGATAAATAACACTTGGTTCTCAAAGCAAAGTCAAGATAGATGTTAAAACTTAGCTTAAGAGCAGACACGTTTCATCAGGAGCATGTATGTTTGCCATTAGAATAAGATGTATCGCCTGAACTTGGACCAGTGTTTTGTCTGTTTAGTCAACTGTAAACAAAGGTAAAGAATATATGCCACTATTTTACTTTACACTGTGACTTGCTGAGATTTGAAGAGCGTTTCACAGTTTCTTGTTGCCATCCTTTAATTGCATTTTATATTGTCTAAAATGGAGAAAGTAGCCTGCTTCATTATCAACATTTTCCTATTTAATACAGCTTAATTTGTTGAAGGGAAAATGCCTGGTTTATCATTAGACCTTTGCAATCTGCAGACATTTTCCTTTAAAAAGCCAATTTCTTCAGACCCTAAAGAAATCTGGAAATTTTGTGTTTGATGTAGATAATGCTACATTGTTATCATGTTTACAAGAATGATTTTACAAATGCTCACATTTACTGATAGCTTTATTTTCAAGGAAACAGGAATATAAGGGGTAAAAAATGAGTATGTTTTTCTTAAATTCGGAATGAATAAAAGGAAATCTAATGTTAAATTAGTGAGTGTAATTAAAACTAAATTAATGTCTGTGGTTTTTCTAAATTCTCTTTTAGATATTATGATGGAAGGAATTTTATACTTAGAAAGGGCAAGTTAAAACAGAATTTGGCTCTCAAAAGGGCATTCATCTATTAGGCAGCATCTATTTAACCCAGAATTGCATATGACCTGACTTTATTGCCTAAATTATACAGTAGGAATCACATGCATATTATTACTGTCACAAAGAGAAAGGTCTCCTTGGAGTTAAGAATCTGAGTGTGCTTCTAGTTTTGCTAATTACTTCTGTGACCTTGGGCAAGTTCTAAACATTTACTCCATTTTTTTCTTTTTGTTTCTCCACCTGAAATGTGGATTTGATACCATTCATATTTCAGGACCTGACTTGTACACTGACCTTTTATCAACCAATAGGTTGATTTAAAATTTTAGGGTTGGTTTTAGTTTTTTAGAAACATTATTCTATGAGAATTCTAGGATTTTCCTGATCATTAAGGCATCAGTTAATCTCTGACTTGAGCTGAGAAGCTTAGTGTTTTTGTTGGGTAATTTTGCTTCAAAGTACTTTGATTTACCTAATTAAGAAATAAACAAAAAGAACTTGGTTTGGTTTATTTAATAGTAGCCAGAAGAGAAGAAATTGTGATAGCTACAGACTTGCTGTGCCATTGATTTTAAAATTAGGCCTGTGTCTAATTTTTCTATAACTTTAATCCTTTGAAAACTGACATCATAGTATAATTTAAATCGAGCTTATTCTGTTGTATTCCATTTTCTTGAGACTTGTCTGATTCTGTTATCTGTTGCATATAGATTGGTGAATCTGGCTTTTGCATGTAGTCTTTTTTCTTTCCTTTTATTTAATTTAAATAAAATCTGGTTCTTTGTAAACTTGATCTACTGCCTGAATTCTAAGGCTGATGATTCAAGTAGAAATTCTTTTCTGGGCATTTTTCTTTTTACTCCTGCTAGATCTGTTGAGCAAAGTGTCAGTCTGATTTTCTCTCTCTGCATATATCTGTACAGTATTGTTCTAACTATAATTTTAAAGGTATCAAAGACCCAGATTTTTCCCACTTCAACATAATCTGTGTAGTTTCTGATGAAATTTATAAACATTTGACTGCATGATATTAAATTCAAACCTGCTTTGCCTACTTATAAACGATAAATTTGGGATTTTATTAATTTGGGGGTGGAGGAACTGATTAATCTTTTTTCTCTCCCACCTATCATAAGCCTGAGATTCATATCACACACAGTCCTTTGACTATAGAAATTTTCAGGTGACACTGTGGATCAATTAAGATATGTAAAAATCCTTTTAAATAACTGTGTTTTTAGAAGTTCAAAGTCAAAGGGGAAGCACCCAAGCAGTTTCTTTTGGCTGACCTGAAAAATTATCATAAATATTTCCTCTATGGAGCCTTTCTGACTTACAGACAAAAGTAGTTCCTATCTTTTCTGATCTCCCATAGCATCTCCTGAGTGCTATCTGTTGTGACATACATCACACCAAATTCTATTCTTTTTTTTCCCTCTTTCTACCACTAGATTCTGAGTTTCTTTTTTTTTTTAAAAAAAGAAATGTATCATATTCACTGTAGTATCTCCAGGATCTAGCACTTTGCAGGCATGTACTAAGTTGCTCAGTAAATAATTACTGAGTGAATTAATGCTAAATTGTACCATTTTTAAAGTAGGATTTTTTTCTTGCCCTATTTTTATCTTTGAAAATAGTCTTTTGTTATGTGTTTGTGATGTTGGGACATACTAAAATATTCACTCTACAAGTATTCTGTATTTACAATTTAATAACTCATAGAAAAGTAGATGGCGAAAGTGGCAACTTGAGTTACAGTTATTTGGAGAAGTGACCTAGGCTTTCTAAAGGCATGCAAACACAGATGTGGTAAATATGTATTTTTTCCAAAATTATTTGAACAAGTTTACTGTATTAAATAGCAGATAAAATAAAATAGCTAAGGATCATAGGTACAAGTACTTACTTGGACCTGAATTAAAATACTTAATGTCAGCACTAAATTTGGCAACTAAAGTAAATAAAAAGGGAAACTTGTTTTTTGTTGTCTTACAAAAGAAAACATACAAAAATTAATCTGTGGAACCAGCATTCTGAAGCTGAATTCAAGAAAGAATGTTTATCTTCTAAGAATGGTTATCTTCTTTAAAATAAAAAAAGATTAAGGTGACCTGCTAGCTTACTATAATACTGTATTTTAAGGAGGAAAAAAACCAAAAAACATGAGATGCTTTGTATCTTAAACTCAGTCTTCAAAGAATCTTCTTTGTAGCACAGTTGCAATTTCACATATACTGTATTTTATGTGCTTATTTGATAAATGTCTCTCTGTTAAGCTACACTAGAGGCTCTTGGGTGAGCAGTAACTAGATTGGTCTTGTTCATTACATCTCAGCACCTAAAAGGGTGCAAATTTGAATACATAAGTAGACTTTTTTAAATGGCTAAATGGCTGAACTACTTGTTTTTTAAACTGTTTTCTGTCTTCACACCACGGTGCTCACATGAGCAACTCAGTACTATCTGACACAGTGCTCAAAGAGGGAAAGGAATGTGCTCCCCAGTCCGTCTCCTCTTCCGCAATCACTATTTTATACAGATATTTGAGCAAATTTTCACTGTTGTTGATATGGTGCACAACATAGATCCTCAGACTCCTAGAAGTACTTCTAATATAAATGTTTTTAAGAGCCAGAAGTTTTTTATGAAGTTCAATGTACAAATTTATAGTTGAGAACAGCTTGATGTGAGTTAATCATGTTGTTTTTCTTTGTTTGTCCAGAAAATTTTAACATACAAGCTTACACAATTAACACATGCAGATACCTGTTTTAACACACGTGCATTCACTCTATACATCGGTGTTTTTTTCTTATAATGTTGGACAGCTTGGCACTTTGTCACCTACAGACCGTTACCTTAATTTAACCAGTCTCTTATTGATGGCTTTCGAGATAGTTTCTTGGCTCTACCTTTAAAACACTGCTGTAGTGGACATGCTTCTACATATATCTTTGTACAAAGAACCCAGAATCTTTGCTTTTAAAAATTTACTCTCCAAGTGCCCTTAGTTGCAGAGGAAAAAAATAATGAAAATATGCATTAATATTGATCATTAACTTTCCAGTTAAGGAACTTCTTCTCAAGTCCACAACCCCCCCATACACATATAGTCTTAACACTAGAATTATTTATCTCTAGATAGGTGGGTATTATAGCTCACAAATCAGTACAATAGCAGATATTGGCAAAAATGTACCATTTAATGAAATCGGCCAAAATAATTAGAACTCCTCAGATTCCTGGCAAAGACATCGACAAACAAGGCTAGATAACACGTGAGCAAATCTTTACAAAATGACACACTAGGGGCTTTAAAAGATGATAGTTTAAATATCAGTGGATTAGAAAGAGTACTTGGGAATAATTAATGATACCTTTAATTGTTTTGGTTTTTTTTGCAAAAATGGCCTTTTTCTTTACTATTGTGTTATAAAAGTCAAGGGTGTCTGTCTTCCTCCGTTAGAAAAAAAACTCCGTAGAAATGGGAGCCTTGTCTGCTTTCTCAATACTATGTTTTTATTGACTGTATTTATGTATATGTCCTCAGTAAATGTTCATAAACTGAATTCATGCCTTTATTAATTTTGCCACCAAATTGCACCCACAAAACTTAACATTTTTCATTCTTTGTTCTTTATACTCATTTTACAATTTTCTGTGTAAATTTTGAAGACAAAACCCTAGTTAAGTTCCCTTTTCTCTTTATGAAATTATAGTCCTTATTGTAAATAGATTAACTTTAAATGGGCTTTTTTCCATTTTTAGCTGTCTTTGGGTAGTGGGAACCTCCTACATATATCTGTAGGTAATATTCTTTGAAGTATAATAGCTGAGTCAGATAGTAGTTGCTCTAAAGTGGTGATCAATACTGCCAAAAAAAAAAAGTCAACCAGTACGATTTAATTAGTATTTTGGGTGAATGCTTTGTTTCATTTCAAACCTTGTTGGACACATTTTACTTTCTTTTTTAAAAAAATCTTTGATTTTAAACTTACAGACTTCTACTGGCTTACTAAGTTCCATTTTGTGGCATGTTAGGAGAAATGGAATTAATTTTGGAAATAGAGTATAGTTTTTGATGCATATAACATTCAAAACAAAACATATCTGAAATTGTCTTTATTTCTGCATATGTATTGCTTATCCCTGTCTTTTAAGTATGAATGAAAAAGGTACCATTTCTAGTTTTTCTTGAAGACAAAGTTTGTTAGGACCTGTTTATCCTTTATTTTACATATTTTTTTCTTGTAA